ACACCTATACCTCCCATCACCCCAGTCACTGAATCAATCCATCTCATTGAGGGTCCTCCTTTTCTGTAATGTCCCTCCAACATCCGTCTGTCTCCAAGGACTAGTTCCTCCTTGCAACATGTCCAAAGTATATGAAGCTTCAGAATCCTTGTCTCCAAAGAGCAGCCTGGCTTAACCCTCTCTAGGACTACTTGTTTGTTTTTTAGCAGTCCATGGTAAGTTCAATACTCTTCTCCAGCACCACAGCTCAAAGGCATCAACTCTCCTTCTTTCATCTTTAGTCATAGTCCAGCTCTCTGATACATAGCAAGTGATTGTAAAGACCATGGCCTGTATCAGGCGCACATCTGTTTCCAGATGTCATTGTTCTTCAGTACTTTGGAGGGGTCTCTGACAGTAGACTTTGCCAATGTAATATGTTTTTTAATTTCCTGGCTGCTGGGGCCAAGAGTGTTGATTGTGGAGCCAAGGAAACTAAAGCTGTTTACAATCTCAATCTCTTCACAATCCATCACAATACTGCCAATTGGCCCAGTGGTGAGAATCTTTGTTTTACATACACACATAGACACACACATGCATTTTTAATCCACCAACCAGCTGCCCTTTGGGAGAAGGATGGACATTCTCCCCCCTTGTGGTTTACTGCCTCTGAGAACCTGCTGGAGCATGAGCTATGTATGGGTCACTTCTGACTCAGTAGCTCACATCACCCAGCAACAATGACGTGTGTGTGTATTTGTACACATGTGTGCACTTACCAAATTATATGCACACATAGAAACGATCACAGTTATAATAACTAATAGAAAAATGAGAGGGCTCTAGAATTCAAGGGTAAAGTGTTGTGCTGCCTACCGAAAGGCACATGGTTCCCATCCACTAGCTGCTCCTTGGAAGAAATAGTTGTAGTCTTCACCTGTGCAATTATAGCCTCTGAAATGCTTGCTGAGGGAGGGTCAGCTATAAACTGGTTTTGACTTGATGGTACACAATAGCAACAATAGAAAAATGTTGATAATGCAAACAATAAGTTCAGCCAGTGACTTTGGAAGGCCGAATATGAGTCACTTTCTTCATATGAGAGTATCTGCCACACTTACCACCATATTGGATGCTAAGCATCAGGTCAAATGCAGTTAGTTCAGGTTTTCACTTTTAGATAAATCTGAAGTCATGACCTTTAAGTAGATAAAGGGAGCCTTTCTGAAGGTATTGGGGAATATGTAAAACCCCAGTTTTCTCATTGTATTGAAACTAACTTTGCATGATATTTGCCCATAACTTAATGTATAAGCAAATATCCTAAATGTAAAATTTTTGGAACATAATGTTTATGGTATCATAAACTGCTCATGAGACTTCTCAGAGCAAATGGAATTTATTATTTGATTGTCTTTTGCCATTTCAGTGTTGGCATTGTTTAGCTGATTTTAGTAGAATTTTTAGGAAGCATCAAGGGGCTCTTGTGGGGTGTGTTATGTGCTGAAAGAAAGGTCAGCCGTTTGACTCCACTGGCCGCTCTGCAGTGTAAAATGATGAACTGCATGCAGGTACCTCCTGTGAGGGTTTGCTTTTGTTGTTTAAAGTTGAGCCAGAACTCTTAGCTGACTCTCCAGCTGGCTTTCAGAGGTTGTAAGTGGCTTGGGAGGAGATTGTCTGTCTTTCTCCCAGGGAGCAGCTGATGGATTTGAATCACATGACTTTAGGTTGGCAACACAATTCCTCAGCACTTGGCCACTAGTCCTCCACGTGAAAGCAGTGTTAGGAGCTGCTTTTTGTCAGACATCTGTTCCTATTGTTGCAGCTGTGATCAGAGGGGGAGAGGGAAATAAAAAGAGGAGACTCAAAAAAACCCAGAGAATCTAGAGCATACATAATAAAAATAGCTAGTTACACCATGGAAAAATTAGCTAATGTTTCCTCAAATATAAGAAAAGGCATTTTAAAATTGGTGAAAGCCTGTGGAGAAACACAGCCAGTGGCATTTTCTGTTGTTGTTTTGGGGCAGGATGTGCTTCTTACCTCATTTCATTCTTAGACATCTTTTTTTGTATCTTTTGTATCTTACCTAATCTTCATTTCTCCTTTAAAGAAATAACACACAGACCTTTTAAATATTGAACAAGCTTCCTTAGGTGAGCTGTCTTGGTAGTTCATATGCTGAGGGATGCATAAGATGGTCTTGTCAGGTCGGTTGCCTCACTTTCGATGACTTTCCCTCCACCACAGTCCTTTGTCACTGCCCCTGCTTGAATCCATTTTCAAGCACAGTTCTCCTGGCCAGTTAGGAATATGGGTGGATTGCGCCTGCTTGGGCCTCCTGGTTGCTGTGGCCGCCCTGCAGGTGGTACAATGTGGTGCCTTTTCCTGAAACAACAGCATCTTTCTTGTTCTCATGATAGTAGATAACTTTTCAGTTTTCCCAGCTGAACACCAGACATTTAAAAATTGCCTTTGAAAACCTGCTTTTGATTGATTGGATGCTCATTTTATTGTCATTGTAAAGTTCGAGTGGTTACTTACTTTTTATCACTGATAGAATTAATAATGTACGTGAATGGGGGTGCCTTTTTCCATGGCACTTCTCATCTCTTCTCTCACATTAACGCGCCTTCTTTCTATTCTTCAGGACTTGGCACAATATGTGAATGAAGTGAAAAGAGATAATGAAACCCTGCGTGAAATTAAACAGTTTCAGCTATCTATAGAAAATTTGGTATGTAATTATCCTTTTGTCCAACTCCCCCCACACCTCAAAATTGGGGACCATGGTAGAAGTTGTTTTGGGAGAAAAGATAATTTACCTACAGGTTTCCATGGTTTAGTTCTCAGATCTACTTTCCAGTTCCTGTCTTTGAGCATCCGTGTGGATGTTTCTTGGCACCTGTGACTTGTCCAGGCACTTTCCACCATCACGTCTCCCTCTGTCACCCTCTGCCTCTCCTCTCAACAGTCCAAGCTCTAAATAGGGGTATCAGGTTTTCTCTTTCTCTCATCCACACACATATTTGTGGCTAATTTCCTTTTCATTTATTCATTTTACATATATATTTTTTGGTGACCACTATGTGACTGAGGCCAATAACAAGATTGTTTCATGATTGAGGAGACAGTTGTTTTTGTTTCACTCACCCCCCCCCGCCACACACACACACTTTTTCTGGTTTCCTCAGCTATAATCTTTACTGAAGGTGATTGTCATATCTTTCTTCAGTATAATGACAGGAAGGTTTTGCTTAGTTTTCAAAGTTTATTTATTAGGTGCCATTGAGATGGTTCCGATGCATTAACAACCCTGTGCACAAAAGAACAAAACACTGCCCAGTCCTGTGACATTGTGTGAGCCCCTTACTGTGGTCTTTGTTTTGCCTTTTTTTTTTAAAACAAAAGCTTAAAAATGCCATCTTTAGGTCAGTGCTGCGTACTGGCTATCTTCATAAGGGGAGTCCTAACTTAGATAAGATGGCTAGAGAAAAGTCCTTCTGAGCCTTTGTCATTTGAACTGAGGCTTGATGGATTTGAAAAAGTAAGCCACACTGATAGTTTGGGAAAGGATAATCAAGGCAGGGACCCACAAGAGGCAGGTATATTCAAGAAGGTGAAAGTTAAGAATGCCTAGAGGTTGATAGTATAAGAAGAGATGGGTGTGAGATTTGAGAGACAGAGAAATTGGATCCTGTGGACTTGTACACCAAGGTGTGGAGCTGGGATTATATTGTGGTTGCAATGGAAAGTCAATCAAGGTTTTTGTAAGAGAATATTATAATCTAATACATGTTCCGAGATATTTCAAGGAAGCAGACAAATATTTGAGGTAATTTTAAAAGACAGGTGCTGGTAAGGTGAATTGAGAATGAGAGTGAGGTAAATTAATGAGCTTAAGTTTTGTTTTGTGCTTTGATGCAGTGATCTTAAGTGGCTTGCTTTGTAATATCTTGAGCTTCTATATCTTTTCCTTCATACAGAACTCCATCAGGACCTGAACATTCCCATTTTTTAAAATTTATTATTCATTTCAATGAAAATTTACAGAGACTTTGGATTTCCATTCATTGATTTTTGCACTTTTCTCCCCTCCCAACCCTCCCGCCTAGTACACTGCCCTCTTGGAAAAGTAAAAGAAAACGTCTTTCATTGTTTTACAATCCCTCCCCCAGGTCCACTACACTATGCAGCCTTCGCTCATGACTCCTGCCATGACAAAAATACCTAATCACATATCCCTTTTAAACAGTTTTCTCCCTCATCTGTTTCAATGCAGTATACATGATTTATCCATTTTTTCTCAGTCTTACTTCAACCTTGATGTCAGTTCCATTCTACAACAGTGGCAAAATGCAGTATTTGTCCTTGTGTGATTGAGATACTTCACTCAGGAACGTCCTCCAGGGTCACCCATTTTGAATAATATTGCATGAGTTCCTTGTTTTTCAATGCAGCGTAGTATTCCATTATGTGAATATACCACAGCTTCTCTATCCATTCATTTGTTGATAGGCACCTGGGTTGTTTCCAACTCCTTGCTATTGTGAACAGAGATGTGATAAACATGGGTGTGCATATATCTGCTTGGATGTCAGTTATGGTCTCTTTGGGGTATATTCCCAGTAGTGGAATTGCTGGGTCAAATGGTATCTCTATTTGCAACTTTTTGAGAAAGTGCCACACTGCCTTCCACAGTGTTTGCAACATTATACACTCCCACCAACAGTGAATAAGGATTCCAGTTTCTCCACAACCTTGCCAGCATTTTTGCTTGCTGTTCTGTTAAATTTTGCTATTTTGACTGGGGTGAGATGATATCTCATAGTTATTTTGAACATTCCCATTTTCTAAGCCCAGAAGCCTCTGTGTATATGTAGCTGTGTTTCTAAAATATGGGTTTCTTAACTCACTTTTCCCCAAACTTGTGAAAATTTTCTGTTGTTTTCAAGTTTCAGTCAACATTCTGCAACATGATATTTAAGATCCACAGTGATCTGGCGCTGTAAACTATTTTCCTGTGTTCATCCAGTCATATAGGCCCACATACATTCTATTGTAACTAGCCAGCTGTGGTTTATGTTCTCTGATTTGTCGTATATTTTTATAGTCCTGCTTTTGATCATAATCTCCTCAGGGTCTAGAGTGCCTTTCCCCGTTATTATCTATCAAATTTCTGGAAGACCCCAGGAAAATAAATCCTTTCCCCTAATCTCTCATTATCCTGTTTTCTTTGTACTTCTGTAGCACATTGCCTGGACAATCATTTAGCATTGACTTTCTTCCTTATAATATAGCTAATTCTATAACCTTCTTTATTAGGATGGAATCTTCTAGATGATAGTAATAATTTTGAAATCAACTTTTAGTCCTTTAAAACCTTATATAGTAGGTATTCATAAAGATGTGAAATTTTTATTTTAATAGTCTACTGCTGGTGGAATGTATTGCTACTTAATTTTTTTAAAGAAATGACTAAATAGCTATTTCTATTGTGATTTGAGTGATGGTTTACAAAACAAATCAATTTTTCATTTAAACACTCATACATAAATTTAGTTCCATAACACTAATTTCAATGCCCACACTGTAATCACAATTTCTCCATTCCCTTTACATCTGATTTCCATAAATATGTCTCTCTAGGTCTTTCTTTTCTTTGGCGGTATTATGGTGATCATCCTCTTTGTACATTGTCTTACCTTTGTCTTTCTTGATATGTGTCTATTATCTATTTACCATTTTTTATCCCCCTTTTTATTCATTAGCATCCATGGTTAATTATAAATTTCATCCTTTTAAATCATTAATTTGGGATTTTGTATTTTTGAGATCTTAATTTAGGGAAACAATCCTTAGCCTTTTAGACCAATGTAGTTCCCCTGCAGTGGTACTTTGTCTGCTTTTCCTGGTAAATATGTATTTCTAATTACTTGCTTCTGTCATTATTTTTTTCTCTAGTTAGGCAATGTATTCCATAAAGGCAGGATCTTTTTCAATTTTCCTTGTACCCACTGTGGTGGCTGACATACTTTAAGGGCTCAATAAATATTAAAAATTCATTCCTTTAATTCTCCTGTGATTGGAATTATCCATATCTATTTACTCTCTGGATAGCTAGCTTTCTCATTAATGGTATACAAGTAAATGGCCTACTCTTAAGGGAGTTGTGCTGCTGACTCTAGGGACATCCCTCTTTGGTGGTTCAAATCCACCAGCAGCTCTGTGGGGAAAAGATGGACAATCTCCTCCCACATGATCGTCTCAGATCCAAAGGAGAATCAACTATGAGTTAGTTCTGACTTCATGACAATGAGTTTTCAGATTAGTATTCTCTCTATATGCCTGGAATTACAAAAGTTAGGGGATTTTTTTTCAAAGTGTGTTATGCAGAGCTTAAAAATATAAGACGATAATATTTATAATCTAATAAGCTAGTTGGCTCTGGAAAATATTTGTTAATATTTATTTCTGTTTATATATGTTAATGTATAAAACTTAGAGATGCACTTTTTATCTTTTTAGAACCAGCCAGTTTTGCTTTTTGGTCGGCCTCAGGGAGATGGCGAGATTCGAATAACCACTTTAGACAAGCATACAAAGCAAGAAAGGTAAGAGAAAAACAATGATAGTTACTGTCATTTGATTCAGGAGCCTCACAGATGCATTGATTAAGTGGTTGACTGCTAACTCAGGGGTTGGTGGTTGGAACCCACGAGCCACACTATGGGAGAAAGATGTGACAGTTTACTTCCCTAAAGATTTGTAGTCTTAGACACCATATGGAATAGTTCTGCTCTGTCCTGTAGCGTAACTATTCATCAGAATTAATTTATCAGCAATGAGTGCATTGTTTTGGGGATGTCAGAATATTGAGAAGACCTAAAACCTTTTTTTTCCTATTGAGAAAAAAAGAAGAAAAAAGTAAGGAGACAGACCATCCCATAATTTTCTAAATTTTTCTAATGTAAGTATGTTAGATATTAGCCTCTTTGTTCTGTTTTCTAGTGATTTGCGTAAATGTATGCTTGGCAAATAATTAGAGAAGTTGGACTATATGAAGAACAATGTGGCATCAGTGTTGGAGGAAGATTCTTAAACAACCCTTATTATACACTTGATACAACCTTGCCTGTGGAAAGTGAACATTCAATGGAGTTACTAAAGAAGATCAAAGACTACACCCTTCAATATGGATTAGATCTAAACATCAAGAAAACAAAAACTCTTACCACTTACCAATAGGTAACATCATGATAGTTATAGAAAAGATTGAAGCTGTCAATGGTTTCATTTTACTTAGACCCTCAGTCAACACCCATGGTAGCAGTAGTCTTGAAATGAGACAAATTGCATTGGAATTAAAGACTAAGATGCACCTGATACAAAGCATCATCTTTTCAATTCCTTTGAATCCTTTTGAAAATTAGACCATGAATAAGGATGACAGAAGACGTGATGGCCTTGATTTGTGGTGTTAGTGATGGATATAGAATATTCCATGGATTACCAAAAGAGCATACAAATCATTAGTATGTTCCTTACAGGCAAGGAAGGTGAAATTCCATTTCACATACTCTGAGCATGGTGTCTGGGGGACCAGTCCCAGGGAAGAGACCTCAAGCTAAAAAAAGGTGGCGAGGATCGGCTAAAGAGTGGACGACCCTCTACAAGATGAATGGACAGTAACTGATGATAGCACAAGATAAAATCAGGGTTCTGATCTGTTGTTCACACAGTTGCTATGAGTCATAGTGGACTCTGTGTACATGCTGATGGCCTAGTCCCTAGACAGTTGTACCTTCTGGCATTTCAGATCCACTAGGGATTTTTGCAGAAGAAAGATGAGTAATCTCTTCCTCTGAGATTTGCAAAATCCCAAAGACCCGCTGGAGAGTTAGTTATGAGTCAGTTCCACCTCAACGGTAATGAGAGGGAAACTCTTAAGGAAATTACAGTTATAGAATAGCTCAGCTAGGCTTAAATTTTTTTTAAAAAGGCATATTAAAATAAGTATAAACTAACAACAGCTTCCCACTGTGGAAACATTATAGTTTAATATTTTGCCTATATATTATACAGATAATAGAAAATACCCCAATAAAGAAGTCTGGATGAGGACTGCACTGGGAAGTTTTCTTGAGGAAGTTTGTGGGAAGGGTCCTCAAATGTTAGTGAGCAAGACTTGGTGTCTCTGATTATGTATATTATTTTCCAACTGGTGCCTTTGTAGTTCAGGAGATCCTGGGTGGCACATATGATTAAATTCTGGACTAATAATAGTCAAAAGAGTGTCAGTTCAAACCTACCCAGAAACACTCCTCAAATATATATATTTTACAGATTATTCAGGAGGCTAGGCCCTATGAGGAGAAATGTGGGGCCAGGATTGGTGGAAGATCAATCAACAATCTGCGTTATACAGATGATACAACCTGGTTACTGAAACTGAGGAGGACCTGAAGTGCTTGCTGCAGAGGGTCAAAGACTGCAGCCTCCAATATGGATTGAGGCTCAATGTCAGGAAGACAAAGATTTTCACCACTGGACCAGTTTGGCAGCATCAGGATGGATGGTGAAGAGATTGAGATT